AAATTGCTGACTTATGGACATACCCTTTAACTCCAGTGCATCATTTTTCACAGCAAATTCAACTTGTTTTTTCTCTACAAAGGGACTCTTATTCCTAACAGAGAAATCCTATTCAATAAATTTGACAAAAAATCAATATTATAATCACAAATTACTTGCCAATGTCTTTATCTTCCTGTACGTTGTAGTTCTATATCACTTGCGTTTCTTTTGTTGTTGAGTGTATTAATTCATGGTAAGGTAATTTAGGAGTCCGTACCTCCGAGATTAACGTCCTTTACTTAGATGGCTTAGCCAATGGGACTGAAATCCCCCCTAAAGATGCAAGTTCAAGAATGCCATGTACTGTATCTATCCAAACCAAAGGTTATTCGCACCACAGCCAAGCCTAACACCAACTGAACTGCAGGTACAACCTCAAAAGAGACAGTATAGTGGAGATTGCTCGTTGCCTATAAAAAACGTTAGCATAAAGTGAAGACGTTGAAATTCTAAGTTTTTTTACGCCCCTATCAACACATTGTAGATTCTTTCAGATGCGGGTTACTTTTACCCTGCCTATCAAGGTCAGTGCAGGCTGAGAGGGGTATAGTGACCGAGCAGGAGGATTGAGATGCTAAAAAAATGATGATAGACCTTCTAAAAAAGAATAAAGATAAACTTAGGATTCCCATTCGGGAGTTAAACTTATGTCTTCCTCTTACAGCGCGAAGAGCTACGGTGGTTAGTGGGTGCTCTGGTGTGGTTTGCTTCTTCTATCCTATCAAACATCTATCGTCCTTATCTCCCCTTCTCCTTTTTATGTTTGTTACTCTCTTGTAACACCTCAAATCTTCTGTCGCTCATGTGACCCTATGCAGTTGCGAGCCCCGTAAAACCTTTACTAAAGCTTTAAAAAAAACGAGAAGAGCCTACAACTCACCAAACCACAGTCGCCGGTGGAGTTGATGTAGAAACACACACTCCTGTTCAACAACGACAAACTACTCTTTCCCACAATACAGGTTCCAGTGGAGTACTTGTTGAACGCACGTAGAAGATTTGCAATCGATTCCCGTTTGCGAATTTTCAACTTCCTTTTTTTTCTTCCTCAACGAGCTTCTACTCAGTCTGTCTGCTCGGACTGTATCACTGTATCTCTCTCAGTCCTGACTGGCTATGGCAGGCAAATAATGAAGAGGATATCTCTTTTTCTTCGAAATTTCCACCCATCAGTTCATAAGATAAGATAAGATAAGATAATTCTTTACTACCCCAGAGGGAAATTTTTCTTGGTAGTACAGGACCGCAAAATACACATGCAGGTGTACA